CTTTGGCCTTCTTGGCCGATTTTGCTTTCGGTGGCTTAGACTTGATAGGAGATTTTCCTTTTTCACTAGTAGATCTGGTATTGTGACAGATTTTTTCAGAGAGGTTCTGATTCATAGATTGAGGGGAAGAATCATCATCAGCAAAAGAGAAGGATGAGCTTTCTTTTTCTGAAATAGAATCAGTGGGTTCTGGAGGGATTTGATCTTCTGTTTGCAAAGAAGCAAACTTGTTTAAGAGGGGAATTTTTGGGGGTTGACTTAATTTGGGAGAAGAGGGAAGACCTGATGAAGAGGTATCTTCAGTCGGTGAGTTGAGATTGGGAAGAAGAGCAGTTTTAGGATTGTTAGAAATCACCGATCCTTTATCAGTGTGTTGATTAACCAACAGGTGATCCGAGGATGGAGAATTCTGGATTTGTTCAGGGACAGGAATTTGGACATTCAGAGGTTGGTCAGCCAACGGCTGGACCAGAGAATCTGGGGATGGAAGCAGAGCAGGAGAGGGATTGGTAGAGTTAATTTGGTTTTGGAGGAGGTATCTTAGAATGAGGTCTTTGAGGTCGATTGCCAGGTTGTCGGGAAGTGCTTCTGCCGCAATTTTTGAAATATTGTGGAGGGAGAATAGGTTGTGGGTTTGGATTTTTGGGACAGAGAGAAAACGGGTGAATCAAGGACCCGCAGCCTTCACACTTATCAGGCTTCCAATCATATAAAACTTTCAGGGATAAATCTTCACCTTCGATTTCAATCGGAATTTCATCTGGCAAAATCGAGTCTTTCGTGACAAGCACACAAACCCTAGCAAACGTTAATCTAGAACGATTTGCAGTGAGAGAATCAACAGAAATCGGAATACCAATATAACTGGAGATTTTAGAAATATCAGTTGGAGTCCAGAGAGCCAGGGGGAAGTCAACTATTTTTATCCATACCGGAATCGGAGCATCCTCGTCACGCTTCGGCTTAAATTTTGGGGACCATCGTTGCAAGATAAAAGGTTTGCCCAGAAGGAACCATGGTCCTCCCGAAAGTACCATCTCCAGATCTTCCTCAGTCGAGAATTTTAGCAAGAAAAAGCCATCCGCAAGCGAGAGAAGAGACAAAGATCCCTTTAGCTGCCAAAGCTTCAGCATAGCCTTAAGCAGCCGTTCATAATAGGGACGAGGACCCAACGAATAACCAATCAACGCAGAAGTCCAAATGGATTTCCCTTCCGAAAGATCATCAGCTTTGAACGAAAGCTTATGGGTAGGAGTGAAGTAGGTTACCGGGAAAGGAGTCGGTTTAGACGAAGATGCTGAAACATTAGCAGCATAGGAGACGCCCCCAGCATGGGGACCAGTCGTAGTGGATGTGGTAAGTGGTGGAAAGTCCAGTGGAGATGCGGCCATCGGGAGGGGGAAGCCCTCCCAGGCGATGGAAGAGAAGGAAAAACGTGAGCGGCGCAAACCCTAGAGCATATCGCAAAACCCTAATCAAAACATCAATATAGAAA